CTCCAAAAGCCGCCTCATCGGTTGTTGCCATTGTCCATGCTTCTGCGCCATATACCAGCACGGGCGTAATGAGTGACTTATAGAGCGCGGTTTTCGTACGTAGAGAGAGGACTTTTCTCCTGAATTGCCTACTCAGTCCAAAGTAGCACTTGTTGGCAAGAGTGATTCTGCGTTGGATTTCAATGCTGACATTATTATCGGTGTTATTGCTGGTTCCCAAGTAAACAAAATTCTCTACTTTCTCGAAATTGTAACTGTCAACAGCGACGTGGGTGCCAAGGCGCGAAGTGCTGACTGTTTGTTTGATGACAAAAGATGCTTCGTCTTGTCCTCGTTTTCCACCAGACCCATTCGCTTTGCTTCCCTATCCAACTTGGAAAAGGCAGAACAGCCTTCGCGGCTTTTATTACCGATGATGTCGATGTAATCGCGTATTTAATCAGGATTGTAAAATGGTACAATACTTGTTAGTTTCATACTAAAAAAACGAGTAAAAAAATAAAAACCTCAAGTAACCTGATTTTTGCTATCCCGTTTTACTCAGTACAAATGTTTTTTATTCGCACAAGCTCTTGGTAGGTTCTTAATTTTTACGGCAAAGTAATGAGAGAGATGGATAGTGGACATGTTTGCCCTGAGGGAGCGAGACAGATAGTGACGCCACTTTTACCAAAGCCAACAAAAGTAAGTAAATTTAATAAAATAATGACAAATCTTGACCTAGTTTAATTTAGGTTTATTAGAATAAAAGTCAGATAGGGAGATAACATTTTTTATTACAATAAATGTTCAAATTGTTTACCATCAGCCTCAATACACGCCCTAAATCTTCTTAAAAAAGATCTACTTATTAGCCGGGCATATCCTCGAGAGTGGATGTCCTCAGCAGCTTGAGAAATTAGTTCACGCAGCTCGGCTATGCTCTCAATAGGCTTTGAATAAACTTTTTCTTTGAGAACGCCCCAATAAAAAAACAGGGGATTTTAATCTGGGGAGCGGGCTGGCCACGAGATAGTGCCTGAACGTCCAATCCACCTTCCCGGATATTCCTGGTCAAGGAAATCTCTTACTTGCACTGCGTAATGCGCTGGGCAGCCATCTTGTTGATACCACATGTGGCGACGATCTGGTAGTGGTATGTCCTCTAACAATGTTGGTAAATTTTCTCGTAAAAAATGTAGGTAATTCGTGCCATTCAAGTTCTCAGGCAGATCTAAATGCCCAATAATTTTACCAATAGGTTTACTTTAAAGCGATATCTGTCTTCTCGCATTAAATGTGGATTCGCCACATGCCACTCGTGAAAATTGTGTAAGTTTATGTAAATAACTTTTTTAAATGTAGATTCATCTGACCAGAGAATTTTTTGGATGAATTGGGGATTTTCATTATGCGTCTGTAGCATTGTTCTACAAAATGAAATCCTTTCAGGATAATCTCGAGGAAGAAGTCTTTGAACTCGTTGTACGTGAAACGGGTGCATTTCGGCTCTTTGTAAAGTACGATGTGCTGTGCTTTTGGGTATTCCCGTTCTTTCTTCAATTCCACGAACGGAAATACTTGGGTCATTTGCGACCTCTTGCAACACTTCTTCCTCGTAAGGAAAGCGAGCTCTACCTCCAGCCCGTATTTGATTCGGGAAATGGCCGCCCTCTGTGAGTAAACGGTGCACATTAACAATCACGCGGTGATCCGGATAGCGCTCTAAATTTGGATATCTTTCCCGATAAAGTCTAGCGGCGGCACTTGCGTTGCATCTGCATTCTCCATAAATGAGGTGCATGTTCGCAAATTCTTGTGAAGGTGGCGCGTAGGCATGGTAGATAACAAGGATGCCAACACAAAAGTCCAATTCCAAAAGAGAGAAGCCAAAGTTGCCGGTATGTAATCAACAAGTCCAATTCACAAAAATCCAAGTACAAAAAGTCAAAGTTGTCAGTACTAAATCAACACAAGCGAATGAGCGAAACGTACTAACTGCAGTGTTGCCGTTACAGCGTCAGACTGGTAGCGTAGCCATTTGCTTGGTATGGCGACTGTCTCTGTTTCATTCGCATGCGATTAAACGACGCATCTCCGTCTCACTGCGTGGCGTCACTATCTGTCTCGCTCGCTTACGGCAAACATGTCCACTATCCATATCTCTCAACATTTGAACTGAGTAAAATGGGTTAGCAAAAATCGGGTTACTTAAGGTTTTTATTTTTTTACTCGTTTTTTTTTTTAGTATGAAACTAACAAGTGTTGTACCATTTTACGATCCTGATTAAGTGCGCGAACTCTTAATGGCACTTGCAAAATACTTTAGTACATTGTTTTTAAAGTAGGGCCTTTCAAAGTCGACAAATTATACAAATTTTAAATTCACAGTTTAACAAATAGTCTTAATTCTAGAAAACTTGGGGCAATTGTGTCATTATTTTTAACTTAGGTTCTAGAAATGTTATTTAGGGTTAAGGTCCCAAAGTTTAAATGAACAAAAATAATAAAAATTAACCAAAATAATCGAAAAATGGTTACAGTTTGACCAAATTTATAGGTTTTGCTTAAATGCCCATAATTTTCAAACTGCATGGGATAGATTATTTTTCTGATTTTTCTCATGATGGTTACATCAATCCTGTCACCCCGTTTCGGCTTGAAGTTGAGTTCTGGGTCACCCTGTATATACTAAAATGTATGATAAAAATAATGAAATTGTATGAAAAAAATAATAAGCGAATAAAATTATTGAATTTCATCCACTTACTGTATTGACTAAGGATTTCTGCTAATTTTCGCCATTTTTAATACTTTTATAGCTAAGAGTGATACAGACAAGATGGCGGGATGTTTTGGAAAATACTGCGGAACAAAAACTGCTTCACAAAATAATGCATGATCTGTCAAACAGTCACTTTACGCACCTATTTACAGTTTTCACACCCTTTCACAAAGGGGGCATTCCCATAAAAGCCTCTTAAACTTACGAGCTTTACACAGTTTTAGACCTTACGCAGTAAAAAATTTGCGCCAAATATGCAAGGAAAGCTTAACGTCGAAAAGCTGTCATCACAACAGACAGCCAATGCAATCGCCACTGGACTCTCACACCTGCTCTCTGAGAACACCCTTCAACAAGCCGACATATGCGAGCAGTGCAACTACATTTCCCGCTCATTAAGTACCGCCGCCGAAGAAGTAGTCGGATTTCAGCAAGCCCGAAAGAACAACTAGTACGATGAGGAGTATCAGGAAGCTACAGGGGAAAAAAATGCCGCCTACAGGGCCACGCTACGTTCGGGAAGACCTTGAAATGCTGGTAGACAGGAAGAATGCCCGAAAATTTTACCAGAGAGCTAGCTAGGCGACTTACGAAAGGTTTTAAGACCAGGGCATACTCCTGTAAGAACAACAATGGCGATCTAGATACCGATGTTCAGAACGTACTTAAATTATGGAGGACACACCTTTCCACCCTACTGAATGGTAGCACGGAAAGTGGTGGAGAAGAAGAACCGGAGCCCACAGTCTATGACGACGTAGTCAATGTTCCTCCGCCTGACTATGACGAGGTATAAATAGCAATAACGCGGCAGAAAAACAACAAAGTTTATGGAGCTGACAGCCTGCCAGCTGAGCTATTCAAGTACGGTGGCCAGGAGTTTATAAGGTGCATGCATCAACTCTTTTGCAGAACATTGTCAGATAAAAGCATGCCTGACGATGTGCTCTGCCCAATCCACAGGAAAGACGACCACGCCATTCGCGCCAACTACCGCAGGATCAGCCTCCCGAGCATAGGTTACAAGTCTTATCGAGCGTGTTGTGTGAAAGACTGAAGTCCACCGTCAGTGAACTTATTGTGCCTTATCAGTGTGGCTTTAGGCCTGGAAAATCCACCATATACCAGGTATTCACAATACGCCAAATCCTGGAAAAGCCCTGCGAGAAAAGGATCGACACTCGCCACTTATTTGTCGACTTTAAAACAGATTTCGACAGCACCTAAAGGAGTTGCCTATACGCCGCTATATGTGAATTTGGCATCCCAGCCAAACTGATACGGCTGTCTTAAATGACGTTGAGCAATACTACCAGCTCCGTACGACCTCTCCAAGCCGTTTGCCGTCAAACGGGGTTTCAGACAGGGCGACTCCCTTTCATGTGACTTCTTTTTTCTGATGTTGGAGAAGATTATAAGAGCTGAAGAACTGAACTTCTCAGGAACAATTTACTACAAGAGCGTGCGATTTCTGGGTTATGGCGATGACATCGACATCATCGGGAACAAAAACGCGAAGTCTGTTCTGCCTTTTCCAAGTTGGATAAGGAATAAAAGCGAATGGGTCTGGTGATAAATGAGGACAAGACGAAGTATCTCCTGTTATCAAACAAACAAAGTCAGCATATTCGCGCATTGGCACTCACGCCACTGTTGGCAGTAGTATTTAATTTAGAGAAAGTAGAGAATTTCGTTTACTTGGGAACCAGCATTAACACCGATAATAATGTCAGCATTGAAATCCAACGCAGAATCACTCTTGCCAACAAGTGCTACTTTGGACTGAGTAGGCAATTCAGGAGTACAGGAAGTCACTCACCTTGCCTGTGCTGGTATATGGCGCAGAAGCATGGACAATGACAACATCCGATGAGGCGGCTGTTGGAGTATTCGAAAGAAAGATTTTTCGGAAAATTTACGGGCTTTTACGCATTGGTGACAACGACATGCACATAGTGCAGCGAATTAAAATACAGCGGGTCCGCTGGCTTGGCTTGTCGTTCAAATGGACACCGATGCTCCAGCTCTAAAAGTATTCAACTCGGAACCCGCTGGTTGTAGCAGAGGAAGAGGGAAGACCCCACTGCAATGGAAAGGCCAAGTGGAGAAGGACTTGGCTTCACTTGCCATTTCCAAATGTCGTCAGTTGGCACAGAAAAAAAACGACCGGCGTGCTTTGTTGGACTCGGGAAAAATCGCTTAGGCGGTTAAAGCGCGAAATAAGAAGAAGAAGAATAAAGACTTTACGAGCTTAAGGGAATCCCCTAAATATGTAGGTATGACACTCAGTACGCCAATAATACCTTAAACGAGTAGATATATACTAGGCTTGGAGAACTTTTGAACTAAAGAGCGAATGGGCCAGCTCTAATTATAAAATTCTAAAATTAATTGAACTAGATCATTAGTTCGTTCATTAAAGTGAACTAAACTTTTCTGTGCCAACCAGGGGCGCACCCAGGAATATATTTAGAGATATATCACCAGAAAATACTGAAAATTCGCTTCAGATAGTATGCTCTCTAAAATACATTTATGCAAGTTTTATGTACAGTATGTATGTAATAAATAAATATGCATGTTTCATAAATTGCACTTTATTTAAATAAAATTATCAAAGAACTCAAACGTTTTTAACCGACTTCAAAAAAGGGGGATGTTATCAATTCGTAGGAATATTTTTTCTATTTTTATGTATTATGCTACCGCATAACTTTGGACCACGTGAACCGATTTCAATAATTCTTTTTTTTTATCGAGTACTCCAAGCGTCGTCCCGTAATTTTGTTAGGTCCGATCATTGGATCATGAAAACATTAACGGTATTCTTAAATTTGTATATGAGAATTGAACTAGAATGAGTTAAAACAAAACACCCTTTTGTCGCTTTATCGTTTATTTTCCAAAACAATTGTTTCAACACGCGCGTGGTGTCATCTTCAGTTGCTGATATTCAACTAGAAAGTTCTAGAAACACAGGATGTGCTAAACTTTCAAAAGTAATACAAAATTTTAAAAAGCAATTTTAATGTTCATTTTCCTCGATTTCTAGTTTACGATAGAGATGGTAATTTTTCACGACCGCCTCATTTTTTTTAATATTTCGAATGCCGAAAAAATTAACAGAACTTGTATTTTTATTATGTAGCTAATTTTGGTGGAACGAATTCGAAGTTGGCAAATTAAGTCTTCGAATCCTTGTTAAGTACATACGTATCAGTAGAAAACTCTTTAAGGCAGCAAAGTGTAAAAACAACAGTAAGTGAGTATGCACTGCATATTTTTAGGACAATGTTTTCATTCGTAGTTAAACTTAAATTCATATAAAATGACGCACAACAAATGGAAATTTTCTTCAATCAAAATTTCTTAAATCAGTTTGCAGCTCTCAAGAAAAAAATTCTCGTATATTTATTTCTTCAATATAAATATATAATAATAAAAAATAAATAAAATAAATAAAATATTTCTTGTGATTTTTCTTGAGAGCTGGATTCTAAGCTTTAAGATTCAGTTTGTATTTGAGGTTATTAGCTTTAGGAGGGTTTGAACCCCAAAACCCACCCCTTGTGTGCCCTAATGGTGCCAACACCCCAATAAAAATGGAATTGTAATCAGGGTTGCCACTTTGGTAAATTGTTACCAAAATTGGTAGAAAAAATTTGGGTTGGTAAAAAGGTAAATTTTTTCTCATTTTGGTAGATTTTTGATGAACTTTCCGTTCCCGATTTATTATACGTAATTATCTTTATAATAAATGTATATCGATATATGGCGAACATATCGCGCTCCATTCAAAACTAATTTTACTGGAATTTTGATTGCCTAAATATTTTGAATGATTATTTAAATATAAAGAAAAAATGGACAGGTACATATGTAATTACGCCTTATGATTGTTCACAAAATAAAAATAAATCAACGCCATTTTTTATTTATGGAAAAAAAATAAAAATAAAACTAACGGGAATTTGAAGCAGCACATTGTTGGCTATACTCAAATAGTATTTGCTTTAAAACTCCATACCTTAAATTGTTCTAAAAAATTCGAAATTTAGACGAAATGTTTTGGAATTTTTGTATATGTTGTATATAGTTTGAATCCCCGATTTTTTTTAGATTTAGTTATAGCAATAAAAATATAGCAATAAAAAAATTTTACTCGAAAAATATTGCGAACATTACATAAAAAATCACTTTTTTAAGTCACAGTATTTGTCTATAACAACTCGAGTTGAAATTTTTCAAATAATGAAGTTTCATTGTTGCCTTTGGTTTCATCACTTCCGCTTTTGGTTGAAGGAAACTGAGAATATGCCAACAAATAATATAATTCAAATACCGTATAACTAGTTAAATAAAAAGTCCTTAAAAACAATTTCAATTCTTATTGGAATAACTAAAAAAAAACAAAAAAAAACTATATTTTCAATTAAAATAAATAAAAAAATAACAAAACTATGGTTTTTGTTAAAATAAGTATAAAAAAAGTTATTGGTAGATATTTCCCAGATTTGGTAGATTTTTTTCAAGTGGATGGTAAATATTTTTTTTCGTCAGTGGCAACCCTGATTGTAATTTTAACACATATGACATCTCGTTTTTTGTTGTAAGGGCATAAAGAAAGGCATTTTAATCACAGTATATACAGTAATAAACCTTTTTGCAGTTTTTCACCATTTGGTCCCCGAGGCGTACTTTTGGGTTGTGTGCAGCGTTTTCGTTTTGCGCGCACGGCAACACTTACTGTAGGGAATTTCGCTTCATGATTAGAAAAAGTTCATTTGGAGGATAAAATATACATTATTAAATTTTCTAATTAGAAATTAGTTAAGCTCGAAAATTAGGATAATCATTTTATATGTAAACCTATTATTAGACAAATCAGTTGTAGGTTAGGTTAGAAATTGAACAATAATTTCACTTAATTTTATTCATTTTGCTGATTTAATTTTTATTATTAATTTTCAATTTTAATTCTTTTAATACATGAAATTATCGGTATGATTAATAAAATATGATACTTTTATTTACTCAAGGGCGTGAAAATATCTTGAAAACACCGCATCAATTACTGTTTTTGAGCTTGTAGTTTGAGTATTTCTATTCGTAAATATTCTTTAATTTATTTTTACTTTTAGGAATATAATCTATGGTTCTAGTTCATCTATCGCTAGGTTTACATTAAAGTCATGAATACATATAACATATCAACCTTTGTTTGCAAAATGGGAAGCTAAATTCATTTGTTCGGCATTTCCTCGTGCTCTCGTCTTCTCTTTGTACAATCTTTGAACTTACAGGTTTTTACACGAACCTGCGGAAGTTACAGGAAAAATGATCCCGTACTCCAAAATCATGTAAATGAGAGCGATTTTTGGAGAGTTGTGTACAGAATGAAGTTGCAAGATTTCACCCGATGCTTTTTTTGTTCCCGTACTTTTTGCTGTTACTCACGCTTTATACTCTCACCTCAGAGAATGATTCTGTTGTAAGACATTTTTACAGGATTTTGCACGGAACCTATTAGATCATCCATACATATGTATATATACATATATTCATGTATGTTCATGTAAGTTCTCAACGGTCCCTGTTAAAATAATTTTTTTTTTCAATTCAATTTTTCATTTTTTTTCAATAGACTACTAAACTTATGCCTAAAACCATGCTACGAATATCAAAACCACTTACAACAAATGAGTTCGTGCATGTGTATGTACACACAAACTTAAGTATGTATCCATATACATAGGTACAAAGCCGCATGCATGCGCGGAGTTTTATAATTGGAAGTAATAAGCATTTGTACTGCATTTCCTCTTACTCTGCATATGCCTAAATATATGCAACCATTTGAAGTAGCAAGTAAACATAGGGTGCTTCTAAGGAAATTAAAAAATTTCTGCCGCAATACACAATTTGGAAATTTGGAAACAACCGTGCCACTGGCGCATTGCGTAGTTCCTTTCTTTTCCGCTGCAGCGTTTGTGCATTTGTAGGCGCAGTGCTACAAAAGGAAATGCATGCATAAGGTTGCAAATTCGCAGGGTGCACTTGATGATTTTTTTGTCATTCCGTTATTCGAAAAAATATCTTTGGTGATGCATTTCCGAACGTTCTTTTTTGCAGTTCCCAAACATTTTTTAAGATGCATTTCTGTACGTTTTTTTGCAATTTGCTTCGAAATTTTCTGCTGGACTATGCGTTACAGCTTGGAAAATTTTACCCCTACCGAAACCAAAGATGTATACACATCAAAAGTCTTTCGGTTTTAACAAACACCACGCATTTACTTGTATAAAGTAGGAAAAATATGACTATATTTTTATCCACAAGTGGTATTTCGATATAATTTGTGCTTTTTTTTACAAAATTGTATCTAAAATGTACACAACTAATACGTATTTCTTTATTGTTTTGACAACATTGTCTAATGTAAACGCGCTATTAAGTCGCAGCAGTTGCAAACTGCTTAGCGTTGAAAATAGTCAAACAATAGGTTTTGACCCTGTTCGAAATACAAAATAAGTTTTTTACGGTTTTTCATTTAACTTTTGCATATTAAACCTCTTCATATTATAACTGTTAATACGTTTTGCTTATTTAATTTCAGACAAGACATACAGCTGACATTAAAACATCAGTGCTTTTCTACTGCGGAAAACCTGCTATGGTCACAATGGACTACCAGATTGTAGCAAACAATCTAAGCAGCGACTTTCGCCTATCTTACTACCCACATTCTCTCAAGGATTTTACTAAGATGTTGAGAGAAATTTTTGGAGAAAAATCAAAGCACAAATTATATGGCGACTTCAAAGAAATAGATGTTGAGAAGAGACAAGCATTTTACATACATTTTATTGAGAAACAGTAACTGACTGTAAAATAATGTATTGAAATATATATTTTGAGTTTAAATAATACATAATTTTACTCTAATATGGAAAGGCTCTCCAACTAATTTTCCTTCAAAAACGAGCTTTATACAAACGTGTTGCCGCGACCGCAAACTGTATGTACAAAAATCTCAAGAAATAAAATAAAGCAAGCAAGCAAACAAAATAAAACAAGAAGTATAGGTTCGGGCGAAACCGAACTTTATATACCCGGCGCATTTATTAAATATACACCCCTATTCCGCAACTCTTTCGTATTCGGATTTCGTTACGAATCGAAGAAATGGTATGCTGCAATCAGAATCGTATTTTCGAAATTCGTAACAATGGCATGCCCAAAAACGAACGAGCTTTTTTGCGTAATTTTGTACGAAAACTATTCTGAGTCGGAAGCGAGACAAAAGATGTAAATCGATGTGTGTTTGCAGGAAATATTAGTGGTGTTCTTTTGAACAGATAAATATGCCTTTCCCATATACGTATATTTTGATCAACTACTTTATATGAACAAACAAAAAAGAATGTTTGAGGCTCCTTCTTGAGAAACTTGGGTCCGGTTTAATTATTGTACAATGATTTTTAGTTCTTGGGTCCAAGCGAATAACTTTCACATGCACGTGTAATCAAAGGATTACACTCAAATTTAAAACAAATGTTTCAAATTTCCGAGCATTAGTAGTATGGATGCAAATTTTTGGGAGTAACATCGATACATCGATGTTTCGAAGCAACGGAAAAATTAAAATCGATGCTAAAATACATTGCCAGAAAAACATCGATATATCGATGGTTTCCGATGATACAAACTTTGTTAGCATGTAATCACATTAAGAGGAAAATATAATATATTTCAATTCAAACTTTCTGTAATTCAATTAGAACAAGTAAGAAAGTTTAAGTAAATAATAACATTAAATAACATTAAATACCCGGCGCAAGTATTAAATATATGATTTCCACCTTTCCGAGAGCTACTGCTACATGGTAAACCGGGGTGTATCAATTTTGAGTTAATTAGCGTCCTTAAATTTCGAAATATTGAAGTTTCAAGTATTTCTGAAATTTACCGTTATATGAAAAGGGGCCTCAATTTTAGTCCGATTTCAATAATTTTCAACGTTTTGCTTTTATGTGGCAAGCACAATACACATACCGAGTTTGGTACAAATTGGTAGAACGGTTGCCGAGATACATATATGTGATCATAAGTGGGCGGTGCCACGCTCATTTTTCAAAATTTTATCAGAAACGTATTTCTTGGTAAAGAATTGTTGCAAGCATAAATTTTGAATAAATTAGCTTTAATATTTACTGATTTATCGAAGATTTCGTATATCCAAACTACCATTATATGGGATGTGGGTGTGGTTATTGTCCGATTTTAAAAATTTTCAGCCATTGTGATGCTGTAGCAAGGCTAACAACTGTGCCAAGTTTGGAAGAAATGGCTACAGGTGTTACCAAGATATATACATGTAACCATAAGTGAGTGAATAATCTTCAGTAGTTACTAAAATATCGCAGTTTTCGTATTTCTGAAAATTACCGTTATATGGGAGGTAGGCGTGGTTATTGTCCGATTTTGCCTATTTTCAATGCCATCCGTCCTACGTCCTAAAGAAGTGCACGTACCAAGTTTCGTTAAGATATCTAAATTTTTACTCGAGTTAGCGTATGCACAGAAGGACGGACGGACAGACAGTCACCGCTTAATCGATTTCTCTTTTCATTCTGATCATTTATGTGCACATTTGTCTATATCTATCTCGATTCGTTTTGTCTGTTACAAACAACCGTTATGTGAATAAAGTTATAATACCCTTGTATTTATTTACCATTCCTTTACCCTTCCTATAAATAGAATAGAAATGCATGCCGTGGAAAGTTCGCTGAGCCTAAAATTCTAACGCCCAATTTCCTTGAAATTTCAACGGGATCCCGGTTCTTTTTTAATGACTACTCAAGTAGCACAAAAGTCAAAAAAACACCAAAATATTTTGTGTATTTTCTGCATCGCCGTGATATACATTTTCAATATAAAAAATATGCCATTTCTAAGCGCAGTTTTTGAACAGTTTATTTCGATTCAGTGTAAAGGTTATACCGCTTTTTCGTGCATTATTTACACCTACCGTAAATTTTTTTTACTGATTTTCGGCATATATATTATGCCAGTGGTATACAAGTTTTCGTATTGGTATTGGCTCAAATCATACACCATAAAGGTAAAGAATTTACATCATATTCTAGCATAAATATATCTTCATGAGTGTGAAGAGTACAAAAGGATCCGGGGAATAAAATTTACTACTAATCGCACAGCGTTGCCACAGACAAATTTTTTTTCCTACCAAACCATAACCAACTAAAACCTACCAAACATTTTTTTGAGTTTTAATATTTGTTTTCAATGTCAAATTTTTTAAAAACATAGCTAACATAACATTTAGTAAAACTAAAACACAACTAGATTAATAAAAACAAATTAACTGCGTATAACGATTCATTTTACTGTACAGACTTATCCATGGGTACATATGTCTCTTTACATATTAGATACATATCGTCACTAGATACGAATAAAGACGGGAGCTCAAAATTTGAAAAAGAGGCGTAAAAAAATTCGGCGAACAAAGACTCTTAACATAGGTGACGGCCAATAAAGCCGCGTTAACCTCTTTGACAGCGAAGAAAGGCCCATAAACTTATATCCGCGGTCAACTATATTTTCGAGTGCAACAGTATTCGCCAGAACTCCCCAAAGAATTTTTCCGAGCTCTTTATTCGTGTCTAGTGACGATATTATTATTATCACAACGAAGATACCCGCGCTGAGACCTAAGAAGATATATTGTGCTAAATCAAAATTGTAATCACTCCAACCTTATGCTATTTAAAAAGCTCAGCACTTTGGATGAGGCCATGTTCCAAATTTTAGATGGAGAAGACAATCGTTCTCCAAGGTGTATCAATCTACGATTCATGCTTCGTGGACAGGCACATAGAATATACTCTGGGGTTTCTTTCACCAGTCTCTACAGAAAGATCCATTTAATTAAAACCGTACGTTAATTTGCAGTGTGCTGTCAGATTGCCAGTAAGAGTTCTAAGTTCAAGGTGTCTTTTGAAGTTCCTGCTGGAAAGATTTTTGCATATCCTTGATTGTCTTATTCCCTTTGACTTCCTCCAGTGGCAGCAATTTGAGATTATTCCCAGCTAGCTCCTAAGTAGGTCTGCAGTGTATCCTTTAGATGTACCACAGAAAGGCTAGGGACCATGCAAACGCATTTGGGCTTCACGCTTTGCGAGACAGTCAGCCCTTTCGTTGCCTTCAAACCCTTCATGCGTGACGCTATTGTGGGCTCGCAGGTGGTTCAAGAGTTTGCAAGCCTTGATGCCGTTTTAAAAGTCTCTAAGGCCTTTAACGCTGCCTCAATGTCCGACGTAATATTTATCCTGGCCTCATTTGCCTTCTACGATGACATTCGCGAACACAGACTTCGATTGGGAAGACTTCCGCCTGAAATATGGTATTGTATTCTTATTCAAAATTGTTCTTTATAAAATACGAAAATTCACCCAATTAAAGTACTAAATTGCATTGAAATGAAAAATATACATTAAATACGGAGGATATTACAATTTTTTACAACTTTTGTTTTAATTTTTCTATTTTTCAACAATTTTAACCACTGACTCAGCCAGATTCCTACGCACTGTGCTAAGTTTGCCTTGCTAATTCTTGTTGCTTATTTCCACTATTTCACTTTGCTCAGCCAACTACAATCAAGCGCAGCTATTCCGCTTCAATTCACTTGATCATGTGGTTGTTGGTTTTGTTGGGTTTTGTTAATATTTCTGTTATTAGAATGTTTAACTTTTAGGTGTGCTCGTCCTTAAGTTATTTGTTTTTCTTATTTTATGGCCTTATAACAATTATATTCAACCATTTTTATGAGCTTGAGACCGTTTTTAGTGACAACTTATTGTGGAAAAGCAACAACAATTTGAAAAAATGGTAGAAGTGATAGCTATTTCGGAAATCACCACATTTCCTCATCAGACTTCTTTCAGTAGGATTCGAACCGACGATCCCACTGACTCAGCCAGTTGCCTAACAGGCTAACCTAATGTTCGCGGCTTGCGTTTTGGTACGCATGCCGTCGAATTTGTTTTTTTTGCGTCACCCGAAATTGACTTGCA